TTTGGAGAATTGATGTGAATTTTGACTGCAAATTCAAGTGAGGGACATCTTGTGGTTAAAATCTCTCAGAGATGTTTTCCTTTTCCTTTTCTTCTACCCTGCTCAACATCAAGGAAAATTTCCTTATGGTCTTTTATGAGTAAGGATGGGTTAGGTTTACTACTTATTCATCCTTACTTTGAGGAAGAAATCCTTTGGAGAACCCAGGTTAATGTGAAAGAGTTCTAGTAGATAGATTTGCCACTTAAAACAAGTCTTCTATATCCCTCACACCAAAGGTCACCTTTACACTGACTGGCCAATGTCCTCAAGGCAAAATGACTGTAAGCTCAATTTATCTCTCAGAATTGCTGCTTTCCTTTCCACTTTGTTCTATTCAGTCTTTCTATCTTGCCAGCTCTTTGGTTCTTTTATGATATTTTTATTTTTTTCACCAGCATTTGTAGTACCACCTAGCCAGAGGATTGCTATAAACTGACTCACATTCTAAATTCTAACCAGCATGATTTTTTTTTATCCTCACCCGAGAATATGCTTATTGATTTTAGAGAGAGGAAGAGAGAGAAAAAATCCAAGAGAGAAACATCAATGATTGTCTTCTATACACAACCTGACTGGGAATTGAACCTGCAAACTTTTGGTGCTCAGGCTCTGATGTCAGCCTCCCTGGTTCCAAATTCTGGCTTTACTACCTACTACCTGTGGGACCTTGGACCTTTAAAGCATTGCTAATTCATCTGTCAATCTAATCGCCATTCTTTTGAAGGTCATCAGTCTTTTTTCTCTGACTGTGGTTAAGATTTTCTTTTCTTTTTTTTTCCAATTCATTTATTATATGACTAGAGGCCTGGTGCATGAAATTCATGCACGGGGGAGGGGGGCGGGGAGAGGCCCTCAGCCCGGCCTGAACCCTCTCCAATCTGGGACACCTCAGGGGATGTCCGACTGCCAGTTTAGGTCCAATCCCGCAGGCCTGATCACCCCTAACTCCTAACTACCCTCCCCCGCTGGCCTGATTGCCCCTAACTGCCTCTGCCTCGTCCCCCGCCACCGTGGCTTTGTCCAGAAGGATGTCCGGAAAATATCTGGTCTAATTAGCATATTACCCTTTTATTAGTATAGATACTAGTCATATAATTTTATTTCTTTGGTTTGGAGCATATTGGACTTCCAAATCTGTGGATTGATGACATTCATGAGTTTGGAAAATTGAGCTATCCTCCTCTTCTTCTGGAAGTCCAGTTAACCTATGTTGGAATTATTTTGTATCCTCATTGTACCTTCATCTTCCTTTCATAAATTTTCTTAAATCTCAATGATTCCTTCTTAATTACTTCAATCTTCTAGATCACTAATTCTTTTCTCAGCTGTGTAATCTACTGTTAACACCATTAATTTCTATTTGTAGAAGGTTGTGTTTTTCTTCCAAATATGGTTGGACTTTTATTAATTGCTTCCTGCCTTTATTTATATCTTCAATCCCTTCCTTTGTTTCTTTAAACATGATATACCTTTTATATTCTACTAGAGGCCCGAAGCACGAAATTCATGCAAGGGGCTCAGCCCTCACAGCCCTGGCTTCATTCAGAAGGTCATTCAGCTGTCCAGTATAATTAGCATATTACGCTTTTATTATTATAGATCCTTAGTAATTCCAATACCTGAAGCCTTTTCTGGTGTGCTTCTTCTGTCTCTTGTCTCAACTGGCTATCACTTATGGTGCTTTTCTTCTCCATGGGTTTGTCATTTTTCTGAATATAAGCTTTATTTCTTGGAACTTCGGCTGTGGGAATTCTTTGAGGACTAGGTAGAAGGTGGATTCCTATAGGTAAGACTGGCATTTGTTGATGTTTGCTTGAAATCCCTTTAAATTAAATGATCAATTTGCAATGTTTTGAACCATCCATATTATATGAATTTGGGCTTCAGCCTATATGTGGATTAGCTTGTGATTATTAATTATCTGGAGATATTTTTGTTTCCCCCGTTAATCCTTAAAAATTCAAGTAATACAATTCCTTTTTAGTTTGAAGATGGTAGTAGAGTTGTTCTTACACACACACACACACACCCTTACCTTTTATAATGAAGGTCTAGTTCTTTGGAGTTCCTAATTAATTAGGGAGGGGAAAGGGGAAGAACCTAGTATTACACTTCTAACTTGGGAGAGTCCTCACTTTGTCTTTTATTCTCTTCAATGTACCCAAAGCCATGAAAACCTAAGTTCAGATTGCTGTGCAGCAAATGCTCTCAAGGCAAAAGTCAACTTCAAGACTCCTTTAACTGGATCCCACTGTGGATTAATGACAACATATATGCATACCTTTGTTCAGAACAATTACTGAACACTAGGAGAACTATACTAGATACTGTGGGGAAAATATAGAAGCACAGACCTGGGGGAAAGTGGGAGACCACTAAAAGATATTAAATAAGGGAGTAACATAGTAACACTGCTGTAGACTAGAGTGGAGGAAGAAAGGTGGCAAGAAGGATGCTGCTGTGGCAGAAGGAAGATAAAAATGGTGAATATCTTTAACAAGGCAATGGAGCTGGGGAAGGAGAAAGGAGACAACCAGAAGGTAGAATAAATGGACATAGTGACTGATGGACATAGGGGATCAGGGAGGAAGAAAAGTCTAGTCTAGTTTACCAGGTAGATACTGTCACCATAAGCATAACAGGTTTTGGAGACTGAGAAGGGAGGAGATGATGACTTTGGTTTGTGACTCTGTTGAGTTTGAGATATAAGATATCTAAGTGGGGATATCCAGTAGTCAATTGGATGCAAGTTCTGGGACTCTCAAAAGGAGTAGGATTAGATATAAATATTTGGGATTAATCAGACCATAGTTAGGTGGATTCCGATTGTATAGAAGAGTGTGTAGAATGAGAGGAGAGGAGGGCCGAAGACAGAACTCCGGAAAATTCTAATACTGAAGACCTGGCTAGAGAATAAGAAAGAAACCATGAACAAGTGGGCACAGAGACAGGAAGCAAAGGCAAGAAAAAAGCATACAGTATCAACACCATCAAGAGAAGGAAGTTTCTGAAAGAGAAAGAAGTCAGTGGTGTCCCATGCCACAGAGAAGTCAAGATAAGAATGAAAGTTTATTCCTTGGGCTTACCTCACCATAAATTGCCTAACACCGTGGTCGGCAAACTGCGGCTTACAAGCCACATGCGGCTCTTTGGCCCCTTGAGTGTGGCTCTTCCACAAAATACCACGTGTGGGCGCGTGTACAGTGCGATTGAAACTTCGTGGCCCATATGCAGAAGTCAGTTTTCAGCCTGGGCGAGTCTATTTTGAAGAAGTACTGTTGATATTTGGCTCTGTTGACTAATGAGTTTGCCGACCACTGACCTAACAAATTAATAACTTAAGTTTCTGGCATGTATTTATTGCTATAACCAGATAACCATACTATTTTATTTGTTGTGGGCTTTTTTAAATTATTAAAATAGTTCCATAAGCAAATCTATAATTATTTCAAAATAACAGGTCACCTGAATTTTAAGAAAAGGCAGAAATCTGAATTTTTAAATATGAAGTCTTCCAATTGAAAAAGTAACCAATTGATTTAAATGTTTTTAAAAACGTTTTGTGAACTTAACATTTCCATAGGTCCAGGCGGCTCATGGACTGATCAGTATTTTACCTTTGCCTTATAGTATGCATATGGCATTTTAATCTTATACCTTGAGGGAGATTAAGTGGTTAATAATACTCATATGCAGTAAGAGAGCCGGATCTACAATCTATTTCTTAACTTTAAAACTAGTACTTCCTTTGCTGTAATTCTGTAACTTCTTTATCTAACAAAGGAAATACACACCCAGGTTAGACATGCAAGTTAATAATCACAATATGCTATAGTAAATTCAGGAAAGATGGCATAAGTTTCACATTTAATTAATCCAGATGCGCTGGCTCTTCTGGAATGTTTTTAGGTAGAAGCTCCAGAAAATACATTCTGATGACTAATCAATTGTTTATGCCTCACAAATTCTGCATTAAATGTGTAGGACAAAATTATAACTTAGCTAAGTAAGTATCTACATAAAGTTTTTAAAAAGTAAACCGTGTAGACATTTTTAACTTCTGGAGAAAAGTTTAATTATTGCAGGGCTAACAGAAAATTTGGCTTCAATTCTGAGGCCTTATTTAGTTGTAATATAGACTATGTGTACCCATTCATTCAACATATACTGTGTATTTACCCATTCATTCAACATATACTGTGTATTTACAATTTCCTGTTACGTAATTATAGATTGCAAGCTAACAGAAGGGTGAGGATATGCATTTAAATTATTTCAATGACTGGATCGTGGAGGTATTGCAGGAGAAATAAACTAGTGTAGCTTTTATCTTGGCCCTCTGAAGGAGGTATTATCACAATGATTTCTGCCAGAACCAGGTAAGTCCACCACAGAGCCAGAGGGCACGTGTTCTGACTTTAAGTCCGCAGCTGAGATTCTATGAACGGAAAAGGAATCGTTCTTCTGTGTTTCTCCTCTAAGAAGTTAATATACTCCTTTGTAAAGCAACTTTTCCCTGTAGTCATAACAAAACAAACGTTATGTCCTCATAGCCCTTAGTTAAGCCACCTCAACTCAATTACAGCCTGTCGTGTTTTATTTTCCACTGGGGAGTTGCAAACTAATTTAAACTTAAAAGACATCGCCTGCGCAAGGAGAGGCAAATGTCGCCGGTTAGGAGCAGCTGACTCAATTCGGCACCTTGGTCGTCAGAATGTAGCCGCACAAAATCGAACCCAGATCCAAGCCCACCAGCCTAGACCACGCAGTCTGTCATAAGGTGCCGGGCCCGGCTCTCACTTTTGCCTGGGCACGGGCGCAGGGGCTCGGAAACGAGACGGGGCCCGCGTTTTCGGAGTGAAAGATTATTTACAGCCACGGCCCAAAGAAGCCAAAGCCAACAACGGGCTGGTGCAGCGCGGTGCCACCGCCATGCAAGCAGGTCTCACACCGCTCACCTTCACAGTCGGCCCCCGGGCGCCCCCCGGGCTCCTGGCCCAGCGCCGG